TGGGCTCTAGCACGTAATAGTCCGCCGTAGGCCAGTTCAAATGATTATGTTTTGCTCTTGGCATAATATCTGCTGACAGATTAGCCGGTACGAAACGAATGGTGACATCTGTTACTTAATTTTCTCATCAGTTTTGTCATCACTACACCAGGCGTCGCTCTTCCGCACGGCTCGGACCACGTTCAAAGATTTCTTGTCTCCGGCTTTGAGGTGCGGTGGCTATTGCTCCGATTCTCAGTCTGGTTTTGGTAAAAGGCGTATTTTCAGACCTAGACAAGATTGGTCTTTTCTAGATGCAAACAATATATACAAATCACTCAAGATGAGCGGCCGCGCATTCTCTCAAGTCTTCACAAGCTCAGACTGCGTCAAAACCATTCCTATATGCTCCGTGCGACTTCGGCTTGATGTGTTCATGCACGGAGTTACGCTCTGAGACCTGCCCATACCCATCACTACTTTCATGCTCGAACCGGATGTCAAACGTTTTCTCAATGCAGTGGTGCGGTAGGATTCTGTCGACGCTGTCGTTATCCCTGACCAGATCCTCGGTATGGAAGCCAAACTGATCTTTTGGACCCCTCCTATCGCCAGATCGCATGCCACTCCTACCCTCCACCACTATACTGCTCAGCTTGTAGGCGCTTCCTTTCTGCTTCTCATTGCTGCAAGCATTGTTGCTCCCACCAAGCGAACGACTTACTACGATGAGAAAGATAGGCTGAAGCGTAGGCAGATTGGCAGCAATGATGATGAAACTACCTTCGATGGAGGTCCAGAGATGGAGGTCGGTAGTGGCGTAGGTGTAGTCTGTACGGTCGTAGAGTGTGGTGATACGAGTACATCTGGAAATTGCAATACCCCCCGCGATGAAGCCGAGACTCAGTACTGCAGTGAGACTAGTCTTCTTCCGGCGACTCATGTTGAGCTTGGAGAGAACAAAGCAGGGGTAAGCGGCTAGGTAGAAATCCGTAAACGCTGAGAACGCTGCCGATCAGTCAATATACCGGTTTCTGATTGGCGAATAGGAAATTATCCCTTACCTCCGCCGAATATTGAATAGTTGACTAGGATTGACGGACTCCAGCATACAGGCTTTAGTGCTGGGTTCCAAAGACCGGCTGAAGGATCGCATTGCTGCCAGAGCAAGACCGCAGACAGCGCAGAGATGACGATACATGCGTAGCTGAGCGAGTACATGATGTATTGCTGCATCCTGCTGGGATTCAGGAGTCTCATCAGGAGCACGGCCACTCCGACCTTAGGGACGCTGAAGGACATGATGCCCGGGATGTAGGCAATGCTATTCCATTTGATGGCACTCGTAGTTTGTGACAGGTTCAAGTAGTAGAGATGCCTTCCGTTGCCAGCATTTACCGCGACCACGATCATAATGGTGTATGTCAGGTTGAAGATCTAGAGCCATCAGTACATGTTTTCGAAGTATTGGTCGGATGACCTGACTCACCATTGACAAAACGATCCAAAAGTCATCCCAGCCCTTTGAGTATCAGCAAATTGTCTGGTGCACTTTGGCAGCCAGCCTTACGGGATTACGTGTGAGTCTCAGCCGCCCATAGAGTCTCAAAATGACTGTGATGAATGCTATGGAGGTGAATACCCATGAGGCCACTTCTATAGCTGTTCCTTTGTTATGGTCGCCCCCAGGTGGAGGTGCTCCCCATTTTGGATTAAACATCGTGGAAGCAGGGACATCAAGATAATCGTACGAAGAGACGATTGGACCACAGCGGAGAGAAGCAAGACTTCAGAAAGAGGTTTTGCGTGAATAACAGTGAAGGTGAACAGTACGTTGCACAAGAGACAGTGACCAACCTATGTGGGCATTTTGGGGCTCAATACCCATGGTTAAAATATTAAGGGAGAGCTGTTGCTCGATAAGGTCGATAAGGTGAAAGGAAGGAACAGAGTTTGAAATGACTCAGGGAATGTAGAGTTAGCCAGGCTCTTTCCTCCGAAGCTTGTACGTGCAGGTCCTGAAGGAAATCTGATGGGATCTGGCAGTGCTGGTGTTACCGCCGCTTGCTTGATGCAAATGTTTAAAATCGAGCTAGAAATGCCTTGAGCAGGTGACTTGAGCTATGGGTGCCTTGAGCTAGGTGCCTTGAGCTATAGCTATAGGTGCCTTGAGCTATAGGTGCCTTGAGCTATGGTTGCCTTGAGCTATGGGTGTCTTGACAATTTGTTGGTATGTAGAAATTACTTGTTGGATAGATCTTTCAGCAGTGTTTGCTGACTCCCTTAGCTACTTACTACCAGTAAACCGCCTAAAATAACGTGAGCTTAGTACCAGATCCTTACTAGTAGCACTATTAGTATCGAATTAGCAGAACCTTCAGGCCTTGGCAGAAGGTTTTGCGCCTGCAATTCAGTGTGAAGGATATTTACTCATTCTACTGCGCCACGGTATTATGCTCAATCAGGCCCCCATCCTAGAATCTTGATCCCTGAAATTTGGTTCAGAAAAGAACCTACATATTGAACCATTGTGAATCTGTCGACGTGGCACGGGGTCACCAAGTCCTGGCAGGTTTGGACAGCAGCTCGGACTTTCGGAAATCTCCTTTGGACACAGGAATATAGCCATGACAACAGAAACGCTAAGAACCCCAGTAGCATGGATAGTTACAGGTGATGTAGTCTCATGCATTACTGCGACGCTAAAAATGTAGAGATGGCCCATGGTCAAACCCCAAGTCCTGTGCGAACGCACATGAAGTAATGAAAACGGTGGAGGTTACACAAGTCCTGTTGGAGTTGCTATCTCAGCTTTGCATGTCATCTTGCATGCTATCTGCGGGACGGTAGCGTCCTTGTCTGCAGAGGGTCCTCTTACCCACTAACTCGACGGCCCCCACAATTATCTCGTCCTGCTGAGAAGCTAGCCGGACATGTGGGCAGTCACAAGACCAGCACTGGACTTCCCAGGTGATGATTTCAAATCCTATGCTTCGGAACAGGCATAGCACATTAAACTGAAGACGCAATGGTACAGCAAAAGAGTGCGCTGGCCTTACTGTGAATTATACAGGTGGTCTCCAAGAGCGCCTTGCAGCGACGGAATGCGTATCTGAAGTTGGAGCAGACAGCTAGCAGTTGATGTCCATTTCGAATACCTTCATAACAGCTCAGTTTTAGATTATAATTGTATCAATTTCTCAATGTTTTCCCCTTTTATTTCAGCATTATTTATATACTCAGAGCCTTTCACGCAGTCCAGCAATCTTATGGACAGGTGTCAACCTGCTGTGCAGAGTGCGTAGAGAAGCAAGTTGATTGATAGCTACGGGGGTAGAGAGCGTAGAACGATGTCCCCCCGCCTACCCCCCCACTCCCACCCCCTCGCGAAATTGCGTCGGAAATTGACCAATTAGAAGCAGCAGAAACGCAGGGATTACGCATATTAAACGCGGCCAATTAGCCCTCTCAGAAGGTCAACAACAGGCTATTGCACAGAACATGCAGATTGGATGAACGAAGACTCCTACCTTTGTCAAAGACAACCCTGTGAGGGTTCAGATATAGACGATGATGCTTCCTTGTCGATGTTTTAGGAGTGAATTTTATTGAGCTAGAAGAGCTGAGGAAATATATCAACCGGCCAGGACGACCAGTATGCAAAAGCTGAGCAGTGTTCTGGATGAAGCCATAGAGTCTAATCTGGTAAACCAAGAGATAGAGCATGACTTCTCCATGCTACCAGGATGGTTTCCTGGATGAAGCTTGACGCCTTCTCATCGATCATACAGGTGCACGAGCCTATATGCGTCTCCTGAGACAACGGAGTATCTCTACCAAGAGCAAGTGCAAATATATGATAAGCGCAAAGATTCCCACCGCTCAGCTACGAGGATATGGACAAACTCAGGCTTCAGCAACAGGTTTCTAAGGAAACGCTTCGTCTTCACTCTCCAATACATACGCTCCTGCGGAAGGTCAAGAATCCGCTCTCGATCCCCGGCACTGACTGGGTGGTTCCTCGATCCCACACTCTCCTTGCGTCACCATTGGTAACAAGCAAATCAAAGGAGTATTTCGAGGATCGGGAGTCGTGGAGTTCCGAACGGTGGAACAGCCAGGTGACGCCAGGGATCTGGTCGACTACAGCTATGGCATTGTCTCCTCTGGAGCGAAGAGTCCCTACCTGCCATTCGGTGCTGGACGACACAGATGCATTCCAGCACAATTCGCTTGTCTAAACCTGATAGTCATTTGAAACAACCATGGTCCGGGGATTTCGATTCGGCAACGTGAATGGGCAGCGTGGTATGGTGGGAACGGACTGCACTGTATGTCTCTGCCCAGGTATGCCTATTAATTTCCGCATCTTGACAAGATCATTCTTTTAGTCACTTTTCTCCTGTCCCCTTGAACCAGCAAGTATTCGCTGGGAGCGTCGAAATTATGAGCACACTAGAAAAGGGTCTGGAATTGTCGTGAAGGAGAAAACGGCATGCATGTCCACTCGAAAGATGGACAAATAATGGCACTGGCAAGGCTAACGAGGTTTGAATTGCCGCATCACTGAAAGCAGTAAACTGGAACTGAAATATCAGCCTTCGTCCATGCAGATTTGAAGGTGGATTTGTTCTTTCATGAGCTTTAAAGGTTGAATCAAGTATCGTCAATGCCAGTGTGGCATGAAATGATAGCAAAACCGATCGAGACGATAGGTAGAAGTCGTGCCATATTTTCAAGTTATCTTGATTTACTTTTTTGATGTGGTATGTCTTGGCATAATCTGCTGCAGCCTTGGCACACTAATATTCAATCCACTAATTAAATTCAAACGCCGAAAATACCGCTCGCCAAATATACCGCCGCGAATATACCCCTCCCAACACATCCCGAGCGATTATCCCCTTCGTTCCAGCGTGATGCTCTCTGGCTGACAACAGCCGTGCGCGGCTGTGACAAGACTCGAGCCCTCGAGCTTCTAGAAGCGGGAACAGATTCAAAGGAGCCTGCCGCCGCAAAGGTTTCCGGGACTGTCTTGCAGGCTGCTGCAGAGATTAGAGACCTGGGAGTAGTTCGCGTCTTCGTGGAAGTCGGTGCATATTTCACTCATCCCGCCGGCCCGGGAAAGGGGGTAACAACCCTTTCCACAGGGGAGTCTTCGGCCAACTTGGCCAACCTCAAGTAGAAGTAGAAGAAATGGCTCTGTTCGTTCAAAACCTGCAGAAGACGCAGAAACAAGAGGTATGACAAAAAGGAGCGCGCACAGACCACCAACAGCAATCTCTCGTACAGCCAACCAATAGCCTTGTACGTTTGACACCAGAGAACACACCAGATCTCCGTACCAGTGAGCTTGTTTGACATTTGGTAAAGAAAGGAACAACAATAGGAGGAGCGCCTAGTCATCCCAAGGAGGCGCAACAAGCCTGGTTACAAACATAGGGTGATTTATCACAGAAAATGGTTCGTGAATGGACCAAGGCTATCTCCTTTCAGTTTAAGGGAGATGATACGTTTAGAAAGGGGGTAACGAGTACAAGAGGGCGTTCAGGGCTTCATAAACGCACCTGGCCAGGCTTCCGGATCAAGGCAAGCCATCCCCGATAGATTCCATTGATCAAGAAACTCAACGACAAGGTCAGGATAGAGATAGCAGCGTCAATGAGGACGCTTTCGAAAATGAAGAAGATAATAAGCAGACCAGAGCAACAAATTTCAGAGTCTCATCCACCTTGCTGTCGTGGAACCTGACTTTTTTCTGATTGGTCATTGTAGACGCAAGCGCACCTTATAGCCATAGCCACGAGCGAATGAGACATGTATATGTCGGAACCTACACGATTTTGAGTAGATACCAGCGGCTACGTTGACCGGATAGACAGAAGTTCAATTTTTGCGACAGAAAGGTGGATGCAAAATAGCAAGTATGGACATCAGAACCGCTCGACTCTGACGCTACCATCAGCGTACTTGACTCTATGATCACCTTCATTACTATATCCGTGCCATGTAGCAAAGTCTTGTGCATTTTAACACTTATTTCAGTATCTACGCTTCTGTCTAAAAGTAAGTCTGACCATGGCAAAAATAGATGCCGGTTCTTGTTCTTTTCACTTTTTGATAAATGACACCACTTTCGATTCTAGGAATTACACAGTTCAGGCTTCGACGACCTAGCAAAGCTTGGCACCGACGATACCAAGTGATAAGTCTTCTGCCGAGGGTGGCTCATTGTGTGAACAATCTATCTATATTCTAACTACTTGGATGCTGGCTTGGATATCCGGAAGGAAAGTTTTACAAGTTGCCGAGGTTGCGACGAGTTGCTCTGGTTAAATTGGCCAATTCGATTCGTGCTCAACTGCCCACGACATACTTTTTATAATCATCTGCTGACTTTCATTGCTCCCCCTGCTGTTGGAATCCTGCGCCACCACGTGTGTTGCTGTAACCCCTCTGTTTCCCCACTCGCCTAGGGGTTGTTGCTCGTTATTTCTGTTGCCTATTTGGCAGTCTTGGTTGGAATCCGACGCGCTGCAGCCACCATTTTTTGATGCTCTCCCAAGGATAGAGTTTCTTAATGGCTGTTTTTCGTTGGGTTGGGTATCGGGTTGAGCGAAACGGCGTCCTTCGTGATCAACGCTCTTGGTGACGGATGCTAGGGGTATTTTGCTGGTTTCACCCTCGAGTCGGATTTCGTAAGTCGAGCCCTCATTGGCTTTCTTCTGGTTGAGCGCGCCATAGTAGGTTGCAAGACCGGAGATGAACCGGCGTAGGGTGGGAAGTGTGGCGGCGACAATTGAAAAACCTAGCTCTGCCTGGGACCAGATGATGAAGAGGGTCTCGTCCAAGGTTGGATTGGTGGTGTAGCCCGCCTCATCGAAAGTGGCAATGCGGAAGGCTATGATCATAATAATCCTGTCACAGATGATTAGGGAGATGTGGAAAGAAAAGGGATTACCAAGCAGGAGCAGGTAGGTAAGAAAGCCAAAGCTTACGGGAGTCGAAGAGCAAAAACAATGACGACAGTAGCTTTCTGCATTGTTTGTAGTCGAACATTCCAAACCAAATATAGGACCAAGGCGAACAAACCGAGCTCGGTGATTACATCGAGGCTTTCCACAATCTTCCATCGCAGGAACTGACAGGTTGAAGATGTAAGCCATTCAACAGTCGGAGGAGATTGCTTGTAGTTTGACCTACCATCCCCGGACATTCCTCCCCCACGAGGACCCATGGGTGTGATAGGTTGCACTGCAGCGCAACGGCAAGGATAGATGCAACCGTCCAAGTGGCCAAAAAGACCAAAGCTCCCTTGAACACTAACAGTTGTCTTCTCACTGGTGTCATCCGCAGAAGCAGGGCTGCGATGGAACATTTTGAAAGGCCAAGAGCGAAATTCAACAGAATTGTGCTTGAGTAAAACAACTAGCCCGGATCAGGAAGCGTGTGAAGAGGTTGGTATGTAGTGCATGCTGACCTTCTGGACTTCAGTAAGAGCCTCAGGGCTCAGAAGTTCCACGGATTTGCCTAGCCCGCGAGAGGCTGCATAAAGAGTGGTAGAGGATTGTGCAATTGTAAAGATCTATAAAAGTTGGTCAGCTACCGATATACCCTTGAGGGCGCCGATAACATTTCAAGGGGAAGCAGACCGTGGCTAAACCAAGAAAGACATCATCGAGGCCGAACGGGGGAGCGATTGTCAACCGGATACATATTCTGATAACAGAGAACAGCAACACCCAGGACAGACCATATGCCAACGTGATGATTATCCACCCTGTACGATCTGTTGCAGTCACAACGGCAAAAGGGGGAGCATTTCCTGCGGGAACAGTAAACTCGGACATGCCGAATTGTCTTTCACTTTGTCAAACTGCAGCAAGACCGGACGCGACGCAGACGGTGAGAAACAGGTGGAGACACAAGACTGCGAAACAGCACGCCTGGCTCCGAACTTAACTTTCCTCCTCGTGATTAGAAACCGTATGAAGTCTAGGAAGACAAGGAAAGAATGAAGACATCAGATGAAGGAGTAATATTGCTCAAAAAAGATTCATTGAGAGTGTACGGAGTAAAGGCAGATTCTCAGTCTCTTGATTACAATCATGACGATGACGCACGCGAGGTACTTGGTTGTCCCTTTTAAGAGTGATAAGGATCGATCATACAAAGAAATTATTGTTAGAGAAAAAGGACCAAACTAGAAATATTGGCATAGACAAAGTAATACGAGGTGCCGCCCAGAAGTAAGTGATTTGCTCTACTGGGTATAGTGTGTAGACCAGGGTATGTGACCAATGGATGCCGTACATCCTCTTCGTTAGAGCTGAACCTGTTCTCTTTCCTTGTTATGGCTATCTTGTACAAATCCTTAGTGTTGTATCCTTTGCTCGGGGCTCTGTGTGTAACATAAGAGTGATAACAACTTTCATGGATGAAAACTGTGTAATTTGAGTGATATATTAGAAACGTAATTAATACCTGGAAACTAAAAGACCTGGTGAAATAACAGACAGAATAGCGTATTGCTCATTACAGTGCATTTGTATCAATCTAAACCCAATCTGGTTTCTCATCACTTCTGGGCGGCACCTTGTAGTTCTAATATACTTAGTGCCGCCGAGAAGTAATGATGTACAAATTTTCGCTTACAGAACTCTGTCAGCATCCCCATCCCCTTCTAAAGCTCGATCTACAGAGATTCATTGGTCATTCTTGCTTCTGCAACGGCTCTTTATCGGAACCTGGGACTCATTTCTCGGTGGCACCGACTAGCGTACTCAGTGCCGCCGACAAATACGCTCTAGCGTGACAGATGCTTCCTTACTACTGTATGAGGCAGAAGTGGCCATAGCTCGGCGCTAGTAGCAACTAATTCTGACACAGCGCCACATTGATGTCTAGGCTTAATTATGCAGGGCTTAGCTATTTCGTTTGCAGGCTGTCTCCCGGTAAAGATACTAGCGCCGAGCTATGGCTACTTCTGCCTCATACCGTAGTATATAGCATAGTTTGTACGGATGCTGAGCTCAAATTGAAAAATGACTGAAATAAGAATCATCATCTTGTAATCTACTGACACGATAGATTTGGCACAAAATTGGACAGTGCATCTGATGCATCTTGCTGAGACTTGTTATCATTGAGTTATCTCTTTATCTCTTTTTGGTGCCAAGAGTCTACCCTTGTATACGAAGGAACGCCCCTTTGCGGCGGCACCCGAGTAGAATTTAAGCTAACATGGCCTGGCTGATGAACCCCCGGACCTTCCCACACAGTAGACCTCCGGACCGAAGGACCGCGAAGCCGCCATGTCTTCAGTGGGCAGTCACTCGGTAGAATTCTTAGGCCAAGATTGCGGCACTGATGGTCGAGCACTACGGGCCGGGACAGAGCTTCCAGCAGGGATTTCCTCGGGCACTACCTACACCCGACTTCCCCGAAACAGGATTATACTCGGGTCCAGGTCCTCCCCTTGCTGGCTCCACAGTTACAATGGGTGCGATGGATCGCCACTGGCCAGGGTGAAATCTACTCCACGATGCTTTCTTGCTTACTATGGCTACAGGCCTAATTTTTGCACCCTTCTCCGTGGACTTGGTGCAGGATGAGAAGATGCAGGCGGACATGCCTTCTTTGTTTGCGAAGCTTCGAGAACATCGTGAAGGGCTAGCATCGACAACAAGGTCCGTTGATGTTGACAACGGTGGGCCACAACAGAAGGGTGAAGAGGACGAGGAGAGGAGTCTGCATGCTGCGCAGATCAACGGCGTCATGATAGAGTGGCACAGAAATATGAAATGGACTACTAGGCCGATTTATAGCTCCAGCAAAGGCTCCGACTCTGTCCCACGAAAGGCGGAAACGCATCAGTCAACACAAGTCGAGCTGACAGGAGAGGAGGGATATAGAAGCGGCAAAATGGGAAGATTTTCGACAAGCTGAAGTACGCCACGACAAGGGCGCCAATGACCCTTGCAGAAAGCCAAATTCGCATCTTGCATAAATATCAATCCTTCGCTGCTGTTTACTTGTATCCAGTTATCGATGAGAGGTACGATGTGCTCTTGATATGTTGTTTCTTTGATAGTACCCCATTCTTTCTCCCAAAAGATACCAGGACCTTTTTTATCGCCATTGAAACAACCCCAAAACATCCAACCTTTACGTCGTTGATGACGTTCAATAATACACGTAGGATCCTACTCTTCACCAGGTTGACGAGTAACGTACGTTTTAGTATGTTGATCTCTATTAACCCATGTTTCATCACTCCATAGTATCTTTTTCCATTGTTCGTACGTCCAATTGACATGTTCAGAAGCCTATTGAAAACGCGCTTTTCGATTCTTTTCGGAAATAGGAGGTTTGCGGCGAGCAACTCGACGCGAAAAGCCTGCTCTTCGTAGAGCATTTCGAATGGCATACCATCCGATATTGATCTTCATAGCAAGAGGGATCTGGATCCATGGTGTACGTCGATTAGCTGCAGAAGAACAAACCCACGCAATAATTTGCTCAAGTTCTTCTTTAGTAATAATTGAATGTCGCCTAGTATGTTTTTTAGGTGTTAATCGATTGCGAATAGCATATTTGATTTGGTATAGAGTGAGATTTGGTAACTGCTGACGAATTTCGTTGTACGTATGGCCTGCGTCGTATAGAGTTTGAATTTGTAAACGTTGATCTCGAGTAGAATGAGAGGAATAAGAGGAATAAGGAGGAGTAGAGGGTCTATCAGACTCATTAGTATCCATATCAAATTAATAGAATTTGTAGAATTCGTAGAATTTGCAGAATGACAAAATTCGTGCAAAATAGCGACAGGGATGCTGACAGGGATGCGCATGTAAAAAACGCGTTTGTAAGATATTTTGACCAGGGGGGGGGGTGCAAAAATTAGGCCTGTAGCCGTAGTAGCTTAAGCACGAGGCACCCTCCTAGCGAGTAGGCCTGTGGGCCTTCCGTCCTTTGTGATATCCGCTTTCTTGTGGATTGACGCGAGTACGGTGTACAATCATGAGTTTACTACGACGTACGTACAGTTTAAACTTGGAGTGATTGATTGATCAGCTGATTGTACTCCCCTTTCCGCAGCACAGCTTTGTTCCCAACAAAAGTCTAGACCTCCACCTCCCCCGCCTCTTTTTCGTCCTTCATCACCTCTCCTTGCCCTAGCCATTGTAAGGTTTTTTCATTTCGAATTCACCAACCGCTGTCACGATGAACATTCTCGAAGACAAGACTCTCGCTCATTCGCTGAAACGAGTCAAACATGAGACCTCTCAAGAGTCTGAGGCTCTCGGTGAGGATGAGATTGTCTCCTCGACCGTCCCCTCCAAGTACAGGGGTACCGCCACCGACAGGGAGGACATGCGCACTCTTGGGAAAAAACAGGTGCTGCGGGTAGGTGATGAAGTTTATCGCCTGCCATGAATCTAGACAAGCGACCTCGAATGCCCTCTCGCATAGCTGACGCTCGTTGCGCAGCGAAATTTCAAATTTGTGACCATGCTGGGCTTCGCAAGCACCGTTATCTGCACCTGGGAGTTTCTGTTAGCGTACGACCACGGTCCCTCCTTTATTGTTCACCATCTTTCCCACCACTCACCAAGTCCCAGGCTCATTTCCATTGTGCTCCTGAATGGAGGACCGGGAACTCTTTTCTGGGGTTTCATCGTCTGCACCATCGGGATGTCCCTGGTTTATGCAAGCATGGCTGAGATGGCTTCGATGTGCGTGATTCTTCGATCCTTCTTGGTAAGGATGCTGAAACGACCATTACCAGGGCTCCTACCGCCGGAGGTCAGTATCACTGGGTGTCAGAGTTTGCCCCACCCTCGATACAAAAGCCATTGAGCTATCTAGTTGGTATGTTGCTATATAAGCCAAGAAGATGTTTCAATTCATTAATGATTGGGTAAAGGTTGGCTGTGCGCCACAGGTTGGCAAGTCTTCCTCGCAGGCGTTGCCTTTATAGTTGGGACCATCATCCAGGGCTTGATAGTTCTGAACGACGAGAAATACGAATTCAAGGCCTGGCATGGGACGCTTTTAGCTATCGCCGTTATCAGTTTTTCTATTATCTTTAATACTTCCTTGGCCACCAGACTGCCTTTGATTGAGGGCATCGTTCTTATTATCCACATGACCGGCCTCTTCGTCGTTATTATACCAATGTGGGTCCTAGGTCCTCGAGCAAATGCGCGGGATATTCTCTTTACCTTCAGCAACAACGCTGGCTGGCCTTCTACTGGTTTGTCTACTATGATCGGTCTGACTTCGCCGTTTGGCTGTCTGCTTGGATATGATTGCTCTGTGCATATGGGTACGCAGACCCTCTCTCTGTTGAAACTCATATCTAACTTTTGGTTACTGAATGAGTAGCTGAAGAGATTAAGGATGCATCATCCACGTTACCGAAAGCAATCATGTGGTCTCTAGGCCTGAATGCCGCTATGGGTTTCATCATGGCCACTACATTTGTTTTTACTATGGGTGACGTTACAAGTCTTCTAGAATCACCTACTGGATATCCTTTTATTCAGGCTTTTTATAATAGCACTCGAAGCCTTGCGCTCACTAATCTTATGACGGCTATCATCATCATTTGCTGCATCTCCTGCTGCATTAGCGAAGTGGCCACGGCTTCTAGACAGATTTGGTCATTTGCGCGTGATGGAGGTCTACCATTTTCTGGATTTCTTTCCCAGGTAAGGTGATGTTTGATGTTTTGTATTCTATAATTGACATGATTTTCAAGGTTACCCCCGGATGGAATATTCCTCTCCGCGCTGTACTTGTGTCGCTTTGCGTTAGTGCCTTACTCGCATGCATTAACATTGGCTCCACCACTGCGCTCTACGCTATCAACTCTCTTGGTGGCGTCTCTGTAATATCTTCATACTTCATTACCATTGCATGCGTCCTGCATAAACGACTTCGTGGAGAGCCACTTCCAAGACGGCGATGGACATTGGGCAAATATGGCGTCGCGGTCAACATAGGAGCGCTTCTTTTCCTTATTCCTTTGTGGTTCTTCTTATTTTGGCCTGTCTACACGCCTGTGACGCTCCAGACCATGAATTGGGCTGCGGTCATGTACACAGCCATCGTGGTCGTTGCGGTGGCATATTACCTCATCAAAGGGAGGCATACGTATACTTCTCCAGTCACGTTGACCAAGAGAGATATTTAGAGGAGCGCGGCGAGTGAAATCTTGCGGGGTCGGTGTGCAGCCAATGGTCTGCTATCTAGATTTTGCTTGGTATTGCTGTCCACCAGGTGTCGACTTAGATAGTTCCGTCGTGGTACATAGATGTCGGCGCCTCACTCCACATCCAGGTAGAAAACGAATCATTCATTTGGATTGGTCAGGAGTAGGCACCTCTCGCACCCTCACGACACGGAGATGCTGGTTACCTGTCCTCAACCTTTTAACACGTTTTATAAGGCTGACGCGGAAGTACTGGTGCTTAAAATCTCTATCTCAAGAAGGACTCGGCAAATTATGGCTCACGCTTGAATGGAATGAACTTCACTGGCATCTTATTTGTTGTACGGAGTCGTGCGTCATAAGTAGTCAAACCACACTAAGAGATAGCTTGCCAAGATAAACAGATAATTTTTGTCTTAACACTTAGTGTCATTCTAATTATTCCAGGAGCTGAAGCCTATAATTAGCTTAACGTCACAAGAACTGTCACTATTACAGCCTCGCGCGAAAGTATCTGACCAAAACGCGTCATGATCGTACTTCGTTGGAAGAACCATTGAACCTGTATCCCCTCCGTCCCTGGGTGGTCCAATTGGCGTCTTGGCGCAGAATAAGGTTTTTTAGCCGCATATGAGCGTCACAGCTTTCCACTGCGCTTTTTATAAATAAATTTTCAGCCACTTACTATGCTACGACCACAGCGAAATACGCAAATTCCTCTGAGATACAGAGATAACTCACCTCCGTCAATACACAGAAACAACAACCAGTCAAAACGGTCAAAAATTGGCTCCAAAAGCGTTGATCGAAATAAAATCGATCAAGCCTTGGCAGTGATTGCCCCGACGCCAGAATGCGCAGATGAACCCTCGACATTCATTTCAACAGAACTCCCTCATTTTGAGGCCAATTACGTTCGAAATCGAGCAGGAGCTTCTCGATACACTAATCTATTTGAATTGGGCTTTTTTCAGCTCTTTTTTAGCGATTTCGTCGTGGAAATCCTCTCCGAAGAAACCAACAAATACGCCGCGTTCAAATTACAAAATCCTCCTTTCCTCGAGAAATGTCACTAGGTATCTACTATGCCGGCAGAAATACGTGTATTCATAGGGATAAATCTCTATTTTGGCTTGTACTATTTAATAGTACGAACGGATTATTGGAAACTACACAGTCTAGATCAATTTATGAGTCAAGATCAATTCGAACTTGTTCATCGCTTTTTCAGTACAAATAGTGCTCCTGCGCCTCTAAATACACCCTGGTTTTATCGAATTCAACGCATAACTGACCTCATTCAAACTGCTTATCGAAATTCCTTTTATCCCTCTTCTTATATCGCTATTAACGAGGCTATAGTCGCCTTTGCAGGCTGTTTGAAGCATATTATTAAGCTAAAGAACAAGCCTATTGATACAGGCTACAAGCTATAGTGTATTAGCAATTATAGATATATTTAGAGCTGGTTATTTCACTCTAGAATAGATAAAGTTAAAACTGAGATAGTGATCCAACTTCACAAAAGAGTTACGCCCAAGTAACCAAAGTTACTTGAATGCAGTTGGAATAGTATATTAATCCTTATCCAGATGCCCTAGAGAGAGTCGGACCACGACTCCATCTAGGCTCCAGGAGGCCTCCATGTTAACTCCGTGACAAAAACGCTTAAGAAGGGAATAAAAATGAGCTAATCACGCCTATACTTCGCAGGCGCTAAGCGCACCTTGTTAGCACTTACATTTGCGCTTGTTCTATACTTGGCTTGTTACGTAGTAACCTGGCTAAATGCCCCGAAGGGGTATTAGGGCAGGGCTTCGCGCGCCTTGGCGCCCTGCGCCTTATCCTTCTACCCCTCCATAGCTGTTAGATAGCCTCAACCACTCCTTCACCACGATCATAACAGCTATATCAGAGCTCTAGTGACCAGGTGATACCCTCTGTTGCTTCTATAGCAGCACCATACCCCTATTACGGAGATATCCCGTAATATGGCTAAACAGCTTCTAAAACAGCTCAAATTCTGCGTTTATTTAGATAATCTGTTTCTGAATGTATCTATTATATAGTGCCTGTTAACTATAAGGGTCTATTGCATAGGTATAACGCGCAAAAAGGCCAACAGATTTCCTTTATATCTTTAGAGCTATTTCAAGCAAAATGAGCTACTATAGGACTCTATAATAGCAGAGGTTATTAATAATAATACTCTCTGCTTCGTTTGGCAAGATAATAAGGCCGTTAGCACTATTTCGACTACTTATAGCCTCTACAGAGTTAAGGATAAAGTTTAATATATATAAAGATGCCTAAAAATAATATCTAAAAATTAATAAATTCCACTGCCTATTTTTGATAGTTAATTATTTAAAAAGCTCTTTATTCTAATAGTTATTAATAAATATAACTATTATAAAGGGTACGGACTAAGCTAATTAATTACGCGTGAGTTTTATGTATTATTACAAGCAGAATTATTAAATATAGTAGCCCTTATTTTTCTTTTTTTTTTGATATTACTTATATTAATATATATCTACTATAGAAATAAAGTAATAACGCGCAGAATTATAATACTTATAAGACCTTTATAAGCGCTTTATACAATTAATTATTATATTTAAATAATCCGAAAGAGAAAAAACAATCCTAGCCTTTACTTATAATAGTCTCTTAACGCTACTATAAACGCGTGCGAGAGAAAACTCATGGTCAGTACGAATAAGGAAAGCTTTACAAGCCTGGCTGTATACGCAAAAGGGCTTCTAAGCGCAAATTCAGAACAAATATCACAGAAACAGCTATAAATGGCGCAAATAAGGCTATTTCTAGTAGGTTAAGGACCTATTTCAAATATAGCAAGTGCCAAATTTAGCTCTGTATCAAAGGAAGTTGTTAGCAACAATATTACCACTTAATTGGAGTCAATTGCTAGATAGAATGGCCTTAATTCGCCTAAAAGAGACGTTTGTTGATATTTTGTGCCCTTTGTAGTGATCGACAGTGCTAATTAGACCATTCTACACCCCTGTTCAGGGACGGAGGGGATAGGGTTGAAAAATCAAAATATTAGTCAAAATTTGCAATACAGCAAAGCTACCGTTTTCAACACCCTTGTTCAAAATCCACTCCGCAACTAAGGCAAAAGCTTGCCTCACTTAGGACGCCCTTAGACCTTAAATAAGGTTCAAAAACGTAACATTCTATGTCTTATTTATACTAATCTAAAGGCTACTTATTAAGAAATTAAGTTTAAAGTTAATATTAATATTTATTGATTGATTAATTAAATCTTATACTTATCAAGCTATAGAGCTTATAAAGGAAACTATATATAAACATAATAAGAAAACCCTTGATGGGAAGAAAAACTTATTCCTCTGTATTAGCCCGCTTTTTGTTTACCTAATGTACCGAGTAGTCATTATCTGTTGCGAGAGGTTGCGACTAGGTTCTCGTCATCACGGAGAGAAGAGTGGGATTCGTGCGGATTAGAGTTAATGCTCAATCCCTTGTGGAATTGGGGGAGAAGATTAAGGCTTTATAGTTATCTTGTAGCCGCTTTTGCCCTCCTCAAGGTTACAAGCATTTGCGAGTAGTCCTGAGTGCCTGCGTTGATGAATAGTGATTCACGTTTAGTTACGTGATTAGGGCAGAAGTATAGTATATGCTTTACTGTTTGTCTGTGCTAACTGTACTAGCATTGTGCTATGTATCCTAGGACTCTTCTGTCTACTAAGAAGGCATTTAATCTTATCTTGTCTGTATATATCTAAGTTATTAATAAATATATAGATTTACTTATATTATTATATAGTTACTTAGCTTTATAACTAGTTATAAAAAGTATAAAAAGTTTCATATAATTATAAAGAATAAAGTTAAAGTATATAGTTTAACATTTCTCTTATTCTTCTTTTATAACTTTATGGATTTCTTATTTAAAGCAGGGCTGTCTTTAGCTTAGTATATTTTATTATAGTATCTTATGTCTTTATATTTCTTAAGAGACTACTTATTTTATCTATTTTATATAGGTTTCTTTAAGAGATCTTCTTAAGTAAGGCTTACTAGTTTAAGAGCTTATTACTCTAGATTATATCTTATTACATGCTTTTATAACTGCTTACAAAGCATCAGAGATTATTACTCTTTTAACTATATTAGTAATAAGTTTTTTTATAACTAAGCCTAACAGAGGGATATTCGCTTTTTTCTTAAGGACTTATAAATAAATAACTTTATATATTCCTAAGATTATTCTTAAGCTTTTTACTTATAGTGTGTTTACATAATATTTGACTCCCTTACTAGTGATTATAGTTCCTTATAAGCTATATTAAGTTATAATGCTATATATAATAACTTTTACTTATAATATATCTATATAATATTTAATTCCCTTATTAGTAGTTATAATTCCTTACAAGCTATACTATATAATAGTACTATATATAATAATTAGTCTAATTACTAAAGTATAAATAAGTTTTACTATATTAAATTTTGCTCTTTATATTAATAATAAGATATAACTTAAGATAAGACTTTATAACTTATATTTCTATATAATATTCTTAATATAAAGTTTTTACTTTAGCTTTAAGTCTACTTATACTCTTAATACTTTAATAAAGTTGCTTATTTTTTTTTATATTCTTTTAATGTAGTTTATAATTATTCTGCATATATAATTATCCTGCGTACTTTTCTTCTAAATTATAACCTTCTAACTATTATATCTCTTGTGATCCCAATTAACCCCTGTTAGTGGCCTCCTTCCTTACTGAGTTTAGCGTTAAGAGGTACCCGCGTTTAGCGGTGAGGTTATTTCTGCAGCCTTAGCATTAGGAACATCAAAATTATAAAAGTTCTATTATAGTCTTAATGTTAAAAACATTAAATCTTAAATTAGCTACATTAGGCTAATTATTAAAGTTAGAGATTTATAAATAGTATTATTTAATAGCGATGAGAATTCT